GGGGGGGGGGGGGGGCTGCTTTGCGGCATGTGTACTGGGTACGGACCGGCAGCGATAGGGATGCAGATGTTGTGCTGGGCGTTAGTTTTTATACCTTGCGGCACGTGCTCTGGGTATATCAGCAGGGGTCACAGGAGGAAGGAGGGCCACATACGAGTCCAACAGCAGTAGCTTGTTTATTGTTTCTTCTTACATTGCTTGTGTGTGTAGCGTGGCGCACGTGGACGAATGCCCTACCCCATGTGTGTCAAGTATGTGTCTTGGTAGCATGGCGTAGAGGAAATGGTTGCTATTAATGTGTCAAATGCCGTGCGCATGAAGAATATGCCAATAGCGGTAGCAACCTGCGAACGTTCACCACGACTGCACGCGGTATGCGCGGTTACGAATGACGACAACTACGCGCGGAGCAACCAGCTTGTGCAATGATTGCTGAACGTACAAGCTGCGGGTGGAGAATGAACATGCGTTTTCGAGACATTTTTTTTATGGTTTCGTTTGTTCTGTCTCGCTCGAAACATTGCCTGCGCGTGAAATGAATGTGGGCGTGTACGCCAGTCACGCCTAGAGGAGGGATGTCACTGGCGGTGCAAAAAATCGCACAAGAGCCAGGTAGGTGATCACATCTCCGGGACCTGGACGAAGAAGATTTGGACTGGACGCTATGATTGCATGGAAGGAAGCACCTGCGAATCATCGTGTTTGGACAACAAGGGAAAGAGAAGCTACGAATGTATGTGCTTTGGCGGTAACCAACGCTCAACGAAACGCAGCACGAGGACAGCAGTCAACGCACGGATGGTTGCTTGTTGCCGTGTCGTTCGTATCTTCAAGATGTCCGTTGCTCCTCTCGGTACTTTCGGACGCATCGGCCTGGCTCACAGCACAGGGGGGCACGAAGGGGGTATTTTCGTTTTATCATCGTTCTCTTTTTTGTTGCCGTGCTTGCCTGCCATCTCTCGCGATGCGGATTGTTCGTTTCCCTCGTCGATCTTGAAGTGGGTGTGATGAAACGCCGTTCACATTTCTCTGCCTTTAGTATACTCCCTCTGACCGGGAATATAAGGCCGGTTCCGATGTTAGGGTGGTCATGTTTTTTTTGTGGAAATGCACCCTTCTGTCTGAAGTGAAACTCCAACGCTGTCACCACAGCAGTCCTCGAGTGTTGCCTCCTAAAAAAGCACGGCTTTCGCGCTGACCCGAATCGAGTACAACCCGACCAACCGGAAAAGGAAAAGTGTGGTGAAGATCCGCCAACAACGTTCACGACGGGAGCCAAGCTACCCGAACAATAGGGTGGGAGGGGGGTGAACACCACACACGCAAAAAACACGCTGCAGCAAAATGCGAAGGACGAATCGGCGCCCAGAGAGGCAAAGAGGTAGGCAACTCCACCCGCTGTTGACACAAGCACTCCTCCCCTCTCCGCTCGCCCCGCACCGAGAGGCCGACGATCCCCAAAGCAGCGCAGCGCGAAACCCACACAGCAGTCCCGCTATCGAACCCCCTGGGTGTCTCGCATCTGCAGCTGCCGTGCCGGCGGCAGAGGCGGCGGGGCAGGAATGCCACCCGCTGCCACCACCCCACCCGCCGCCGCCCCCCTCTTCATGGAGGCGCCGGCCGTCGCCGCCGCCGCCGCGGCCAGCCGCACCAGCTCCTTTGCCGCGCACTCCGGGCACGCCGCCCCGGCGCCGCTGCGGCCCCGCTCGTACTCCAGCGCCACCACCTGCTGCGTGCGCTGCAGGGAGGCCGTGGCCTGGCGGACGCTCGAGACGCTCGCCGGCACCACGCTCCGGAGAAGGTGCCCCAGCGAGAACTCGTGCCCGCAGGAAAAGACCCAGATGGTAGGGTCCTCCAAACAACCACCGTCAGCGGCGGCAGACGACGATGATGGCGGCGCGTCTCCTTGCGCGGCGCCGCTGTTGGTGGGACCCCGGGGCCAAGCGCTGGCGGCATCCGTGCGGTCTCCTCTCATCCTCCTCCTCCCCGCCGCGGCTGACGTCGACCGTTCGCGCCCGGGCGCTGCCGCCGCTAGCCAAGACGATGATGCGCCGCCGTTACCCGCCCGGTGGTCGAGCATAAGGGTCAGCGGGGACGGCTCCGTAGCCGGTCCAGCGACGTTCGGGGGACTGTCGGTCTGCTGTGCAGCGGGGCGCCCTCTGGCTGACGCTGCCGGCGTTTTTCCCGCAGACCGCATTAGCGCGAGCAAAAAGTGAGGCGCGAGACCCAGCTCCCGTGCCTTGTCCATCTGTGCGACGGTGGGCCCCAGCGACGATAGGGTCACCGCCGTCCCTGCTGCTGCCAGCAGAGGGCCAGTCGCAGCAAGCGACGATTGCCCTCGCCATCCATCCCGCGACCCCCCCCTACCCCGCGGGCCTCCTCCCGTTGGAACACCTGAGACAAGGCCCAGTTGTGTGTGGTCGCGAGACAGCTGCGGGAAGAAGACCGCCGCAAGCACGCGTACGCCATCCCGGTCTCCCAGCCGCCGCCGTAGGGCCGCCTCGAGCGGCGGGAGGGGCAGGTCGAAGTGCCGCCAGGCGCAGAGCGACTCGGCGAGGACGGAAGCTCGCGCGAGGATGACGGCGGCGGGGGCGGGCAAGGCCGCTGCCGCCGCCGCCGCCGCGGACGGTACCCCGGTCTGTCCCCCGCCATTGCCACCGTCGTTGCTGCTGCTGCTGCCGTCGTCGTTGTCGATGGCGTCGTTGTCGATGGCGTCGTTGTCGATGGCGTCGTCGCCGGGGTCGTCGCCGGGGTCGTCGTTTCCCGTCCGCAAGCACGTTGGGAAGACGTGCTCGTTGACCACGCGAAGCGTGGCTTCGATTGCCGCTCGCTTGGTCTCGGCCGTCGCTTCATCGTCGGCCGCCGCCGCCGCCGCCGCCGGCGCGCCTCCTGTTGTTGTCGTCGGTCCTGGTAGAGACTGTTCGACGCCGGGGAAGGGACGACCTTTTCCGCCGAGAATGAGAGCGGCCTCGCCCGGTGCTTCTTGTTCACCACGCGCCTCCTAGGAGCGCAAAAGACAACAAAGAGGAGTGAGAAGCTAGGTTGTGAGGATTCGAACTAAACTAGGGGACTAGGGGAACCCACGCAGCCAAGCGGGCTGGCTCACAATGACAAGAGATTTTGTTGGCGTTTCTACTTTGTGCATTCACAAAGACCGGCGTATTTTCATCGTTCAGCCGGTTAGCGCACGGTTGACAAAGAAGTGCATCTCGAAAGCGTGCTCCCATTTCTTGTATCCCGCTGAAAGACTGATGCATTCTACTTGGCCAGCCGGTTGGCGCCACCGATGCTTGCCACAGAAACACGCGCACACAGGTCAGACCATGACACCTCTAGAAACTGATGTACTTTCAGTGGTCAGGAGGTTAGCGTGTTCCATGCTCGTGATAAACACACACGTGAACAGTCGTACCAGAACAAAAGGTGGCAAATACAAGAACTGCTGGAGAATGCCTCGCAACTCGGGTGCGATCCTCGTAGGCGAAGGAGCGGTGCTAGGTCTCGATAAGGATGTCTTGCATGGTGGTGTAGATGGGTAGACGATTGCCGGAGTGTACACATTGGAAGGATGCCGGTTGTTTGGAATGTCTCGGGGGATTTTTTTTTCTCTTTTTTCTTCACTTCAAATCAGCGCTCACAGCACTGGTGCCGTTTACCCCAACCCGTGGTCACACAGAGAAGCCCTTCTCTACCCTCCCCTCCTGCGGTACTTTGCCTTCGATTTTTTATGCGAGAAGAGTTCAGCACTCTCTTCCCTCTGTGTACACACGAACTAGCGCTATCCACTAGGCCAGGAGCAGAAGCGAGAGAAAAACTCACTTTGCCAGAAAAGCTCGCTTACGCCGGGATTCGAACCCCTGACCTGACCACTGGCAGGTTTCAAGGTTACCAACTAGACCACCGGGGCGACCGGCGGCGCGGGAATGCATCAATAGAAACATGGTCGAAGGAGTACGCCATATCGGCTGCCGCACGTGCAAGGCCAACAACGACCTTCCATACAAACGGCGAGTAACTTCAGTCCATGAACGACCGCAACAAATACGCCCGTGTACACACCGAGCGATGGCGGGGGGGGTGGGATACCGGGACGGGCAGGAGAGCGACTGGGTGTCTCGTCTAGGAGAGGACCTCGTGGCCTTCAACATGGGAGACGAAAAGGAAGGGGGGAAATGGAAAGAGAGCGCCGAGGACCCGGAGGTGTGGTACAACAAGGTCGAGGACGGGGCGGCACGGCTCATGAGGAAATGGCACAGCCAGAAGGCGGAAGCGTCCGCGAAGCCCCAGCGCGCGAGGGAAGCAGAAGCAGAGAGTACGGCCATCTCAGGATCGAAGAGAAAGAGAGCCGTGGAAGCGGCGGTGGGGGGGAAGAAACGGCGAACGGGCACTGCTGTAGAAGCGAGTAGGGCGGCCGAGGCAGCACTTGTGGCGAACTATTTACCCGGCTGATGCTGTTGCGCCCTGTTTCCCCCCCTGCTGTATGCTATACTCCTTTGTGTATGTCCTTTGTATTGCCTTCGGCCTCCGTGCTGTGTTTCTTTTTTCTTCATGTCCTCCCTTCCCTCCCCCCGGTGATTGCCATCGGGGTTGGGTTTTCGTCGCTTGGCAACGACGTTGTAAAACAAGCCAATTCACTTCGTGAACTCGGCAACCAGGTTACCGT